ACCATGAGGTGGTTCCACCTTGATGGTACATAACACAACATAACTACTTCATTTAGATTTCGCTCAAGTATTACAATGAACCTCCATGTAGGATTGTTGCCGTTGTTCAGAGTTGCTGTGTTGGCTCCATTTCATTGTGACTCAGGGTACCACAGTACAGAACTCTGCCCTATTCTGCACCATCCTCACAATCTTTGTTGTGCATCACTGCAGTCACTGTGTCAACCCACTTTGCTGAGGGCTGTGCTCTCTTCCACTGACATTCTCCTTTCCCAGGATCTGGCTGCTCCTGACAACAAAGTATGTGACAGGAAGTCCCACCATCTTTGCTTCTACGGAACACTCTGGTTGTGTTTCTTCAAGACTCGTTTGTTCTTTTGGATGTGCATGGCATATCCAGTGTTCTTCAACATAGTTCAAAGGCATCAACTCTTCTTGGGTCTTCCATAGTCACTGTCTGACTTTCACATGCATATGAAACAAATGAAGATACAGTATGGGTCAGGAGCTCCTGATCTTTTGAAGAGCACTTTTAAAAATGTACTTGACAACAGATTTGCTCAGCGCAGTACATCATTTGATTGCTTGAGTACTGCTTCCATGCATGTTAACTGTGGAGCTGAATCAACTAAAGTTGGTTAGTTTATACAGCTAAAACAGTTAATTTTTTTCTATTATCAAGCTGCTCCTTCTCTGTCTTCTTAAGGCTCCTTTCCCCCTCTCTCACTTCTAAACATCACCGGTTCAAGGTTTAGTCCTTGAACTTCTTCTCTTCAGCATCTGCACACCCTGAGTACTGATAATTAGACTTTTTAATTCTTGAGTTTTGGAGTGTTGTTTTTTTTATAGTTTGCTTGTAGTGTTGTATTTTTTTCTTGTTGTGGACCGTCAAGTCAGATCCGACTGGCACAGGAGGAGGTTGCCCCTGCTCCTCCAACAGAGCACTTAGTGGATTCAAACCATATGCCTTTGGGATTGCAGCATAGCTTCCTGCTACTAGGCCACCAGAGCTTCCTTTAGCCTTCTATTTTAAAATATTACCCATACAGTGAAAACTCCCATTTTATAGCCCCAGCCTGAATTATTTTCTTAAACATGAAATTTGCATATCCAATATCTACTCAACATCTCTACTTAGAAACTTAAGAGGCATAGCAAACCTGGTATATATAAAACTAAACTCCTGTTTTCTACAAATTCCTACTACCTCTCTCATCAAAATAAAAAGTCCGATTTTCCCCTGCAGTCAACCCTCCGTCAACTATTCATTCTCTCTAGAAATGCACTCTTTCTCTCATATTTCACATTCAATTCATTATTCAACTCCTATCTACTGATTCTATCTCAATAGGAGATCAGATCTCACTACTTTTACTGTGCTGGTCTAAACCAGTGTACACACACGTAATAGTTTTTCCTCTTCCTATTTCTACTCTTCCACATGCCTAAAGTCTACTCATAGCAAAGCAGCCTGACAAGTTTTAAAATCATTTAATTAAAAAATGCAAATTTTAATTCCGTCATACTGTCTCTGTTGCTACCTTCCAGTGGTGGTACTTGTTGACCCTCTGGAGGTTTTTCAGAGGCAAGTAAATCACGCAGGAGGAGATGGTCCATCCTTCTCCAAAGAGCAGCTAGCTAGAGGACTTGAACTACATGCCTTTGGTATTGTAGTGTAGCTTCTTACTACTACACCACCAATGGCAAGTTCTTAAAATAACTTATGAAATCACTGAAAACCTCCCCTTACCTTCATGACTTTCTCTTTTACTCCACTCTATCTTATCAGTGTCCTTGCTTTCCAGGAACACACGTGGCATTTCCCCCTGGAGAGTTTGCACCTGCTGTTCTTTCCCTGTGACACATTGCGCAGATCTGTGAATTACTTGCTTCTTAAATGCCTTCAAATTTCGGCTTTAATGTTTATCTCTTGACCATTCTACCTACATTAGCAATCATCCTCCCCTCTCAATTATTTTTTTTCTCCATCATATTTAACACCATGTTGTTGTTATGTGCTGTCGAGTTGCTTGCGACTCATAGCAACCCTATGCACAACAGCCCTAAACTTTGTTCTGTCCTGTGCCAATCGCACTGTCTCTGAAAAATCCATCCCGATTACCCCAGTAACTGAATAAATCCACCTCAAAGAAGGCCTTTTTCTCCTGTGCTGTCCATCCACCCTCCCAAGGATGATGTCCCTCTCCAAGGACTGGTCCCTCCTTACATGACCAAAGTATGTTAGGTGAAGCCTCAGAATCCTTGTCTCCAAGAAGCAACCCGGTTTAACCCTCTCCAGGATGAATCTACTTGTTTTCCTAGCAGTCCATGGTACCCTCAATACTCTTCTCCAGCACCAAAGCTCAAAGGCATCAATTCTCCAACTATCCTCCTTAGTCACTCTCCAACTCTCTGATGCATAACAAGTGATTGCAAAGACCATGGCCTGTATCAGACACACCGTAGTCTCCAGAGTGACACCACTGCTCTTCAGAACTTTGGAAAGATCCCTAACAGCAGGCTTTCCCACCACAATACGTCTTTTCATTTTCTGGCTGCTGGTGCCAAGAGTGTTGACTGTGGAGCCAAGCAAACTAAAGCTGTGTACAATCTCAATCTCTTCACCATCCATCCTGATGCTGCCAACTGGTCCAGTAGTGAGAATCTTGGTCTTCTTGATACTGAGCCTCAATCCATATTGAAGGCTGCAGTCCTTGACCCTCTGCAGCAAGTGCTTCAGGTCCTCCTCAGTTTCAGCAAGCAAGGTTGTATCATCTGCATAACGCAGATTGTTGATAGATCTTCCACCAATCCTGATACCACACTTCTCCCCATAAAGCCCAGCCTCCTGGATATTCTGTTCTGCATACAGGTTGAAAAGGCATGGAGACAGGACACATCCCTGGCGCACGCCCTTCCAATTTTGGACCATGCAGGGTTCCCTTGCTCTGACAACTGCCTCTTGGTCCAAGTATAGGTTTTGCATCAGCATGATCAAGTGTATTGGGATTCCCATTCTTCTCAGAGTCGGCCACAGTTTGTTATGGTGCAGCTTACTATATATTTTATTAATTTGTTTCTTCAACTAGAATTTAAGTCACTTACTAAGTATTTTCATCCTGTTTTGTAACTAACATTACTTCTAGCAAATGTCTGCTTCCGGAAGGATGGGCCATCTCTTCTCGTGCAATTAATAGCCTTTGAAAACCTGCTGGAAGGTCAGCTATGAGTCTGTTACCCCTAGACCATACATAACAACACTGATGTCATGGCAGAACTGATTCACAGAAGCCCTCCAGAAACTCACTGGCAGAACTGATTCATAGAAGCCCTTCCAGTGAGTTTCTGGAGGCTATAAATCACACGTTGGAAATGGCTCATTTTTCCGCCCCACGCAGTTGGTGGATGTGAACCACTAGGGAATTTGCGTTTTTCTGTTAGCAGTGCAACGCCCCATGGACAATGGCACCAAGGCTTCACCTGTTCTGTACTGTTGAGTCAGAACTGACCCATAGCTGACCCTCCAGCGGATTTTCAGAGGCAGTGAATTGCAGTGGAGGAGACTGTCCATCCTCCTGCAGAGCAGCCAGTGGCCTGGAGCCAGCTAACCAGCTCATTCATTCAAAGGCTATACAAATTCAAAGCCTGAGCCACTAAATGTTTCTCAGAAAACAAAATATACCAGGTTTTGAGTTCTAATAAAACTCAAAACTCATTGAAGTGGAGTCAAAAGCAACTCCTAAAGAACCCTCTTGCGTGTTTCCTGAGATTGTAAATTGCACTCGAGAAATATGTCCACTTTTTCTTCTGCTGAGCTGTTCGGTGGATTCGAACCAGTACAGATGCACCAACTTTGGGTCAGCAGCAATATACCCTACAGGCTAGGCCACCAGTGCTATGATGGTATGTGTCGTTGAATCAGAACCGACTCATGGTTGATCTCCCAAATTGCCCTTTCTCTCACTGTCCTCACTGTCCTCCTGGTAGACTCGAACTGCTGGCCTCTGGATTAGCAGCAAAACTCTGACACCATGAAGCCATCAGAGCTCACTAACCAGCCCAGCCTAACCCATTTCACGAGCTCTGAATCAGCGACGAACGTATGAAGTATTCTTAACGCCTTCTCATTTTGACAGTAAACCTTGCTCTGCACAGTATGTATTCAAGATGCTTCGTCACCCATTAGCTTCATCGTTTTCACAAGGGAAGCAGAGAAAAAAACCGAGAGCTAGAAATAAAGGAGTCAAATCCACACACTAAATGGCAGAGGGAGGCTCTGCAGAAAACAAGACCCGAACCACATCTCTACGGCTTTGGATTTCAATGAGAATGATCATAAAATAATGGCAGCCTCCAGGAAGAGTTTAATGTGAGGCCTGTTCTCAGGGAGCTATGTTCCTGAGAGCAGAACGACACCTAGGAGTTTCCTCCCAGACACACAGACACACTCGGATAGGCGGAGCTCACAGAACCGACTCAGAGCTGAGGCCCTCTTGGGTTTCCCAAATTCCACCGCCCTGAGGAGACTGCCCATCTTCCTCGCGCAGAGCCGCTGACACGCTAGCAAACGGGATTTGGCAGGGTCGCTGCCAGAAACGCGCCCTAAATTCTTCAGAGCCGCCTAGTAACTAACGGATGTGGGAATGGCTGCGGCTTAAAGCCGGGCTTGCAGGCAGGCCCTCGGCTAAGTGCAGGACGAGCACGCGGACTCTGGGGGTTCGTGTGGGTTTCTGCTCGGTTCCCGAGCAGAGTACAAGCAGCGGGAACCGCTCTGACAGGCCCACCCGCCGACAAGGGAGCGGCCTGTCCGCCCCGGTGCTTTCCAACGCGCGCCGCGCGCACTCTGGCGGCCAGGCATCACGTGACCCCCGCTGCCGCGGCTGCGCGGAGCCCGCCCCTCGAGCCCGCCCCGAGCGGCTCGCGGCGGGAAGGCGTCCTGGGTGCGAGCCAAAGGGAGGCAGGGGCAGCTGCCGGACCCTGCAGGGTCCAGGCGGCTTTACCGGGTACAGGTAGAGTACTGCTCCCACCAACATCAGCAAGAAGGTAATGGCGAAGATCGCGAAGTCCAGCATAGCTCTTCCGCACTGGGAGCCACGTCTCGGATCCACTCCTCTGGCAGCAGCGCCTCAGCCTGGCCTGACTCAAGGAATTAGGCTGTGGGCGGAGGAACCCCAGTGACCTGGGAAAGAATTGGCCGTGGGGGCGTGACCAAAGCAAAAGAAAGCAATGGATTGCCGAGGAATGAGTGCAGGCTGAATATCCTAGCTCATCTGAGAGCACGGGAAATGGGACCCCTGGGCGAGAACTACTGTTGTGTTGTTGTGTGCCGTCGAGTCGTTTGCAACTCATAGCGACCCTGTGTACAAGAGCCCTAAACCGTGCTCTATCCTGTGCCAATCTCATTGCCTCTGACACACCCATCCCGATCACCCCAGTCACTGAATCAATCCACCTCGTAGAGGGTCTTCCCCTCCTGCGCTGTCCCTCTACTCTACCCAGCATGATGTCCCTCTCCAAGGACCTGTCTCTCCTTACAACATGTCCAAAGTATGTGAGGCGAAGCCCCAGAATCCTTGCCTCCAAGGAGCTGCCT